CCTGCCAGATCTGTTGAGTGACTGAATGAACCCTCCCATGAATCTTACACGAATATTTCTGGCTTATTACTAAACATCTTCACTCTAATATCCGATAGGTACTTTAAATACATGTCTCTCTGTGTTTTTACTTTCTTCCCAAAACACCTACTCTACTATCATTTCCACTTCCTTAGTGGCTGCCACACTAGTATTGCGTTGAATAAATATTTATTGAATAAATACAGTTTTGTGGTTAAAGAAGCATGATACTTCCTTTATTATCTATGGATCAACATTTATTCAAAATATCTGCATGTGGCTACAGACTTGGACAGAATTTCCAGAGAAAAGGGGTATTGCGGGAGGACATATATGAATAAGCAGAAAACATGTTTCAAAGGAGATACAATATGATTACACAGAAATACACTAAGTAACACAGTGATTAAAATACTAAGAACAAATGATTAAATAACTGAGGTTTATTAGACCGAAGTTACATTGAGATATGTTAATCACTCAGAACCAAAAGATGTGATAGACAAAAAAAAAAAGCATAGAAAGACTTAATTCAATCACATAAGTATATAAAAGTTCTTGAGTAGAGAAAATGTAATTTTATGTATATTTAATTAAACTAAGCCATAAATTTTGCCACAATTACTAATAAAATTTTAAATGCTGATGTTTTACAGCCCATATTCTTATAATATAATCTAATAAAATAACATAATAAGTTAAATAAAAACTACTTAAAATCAGAAATAGACTCCTAAGTAACTTATGAAGTCAACTGAAAAAATCAAACCTAAATAATGAACTTTAAAATTACAAAGAAAAAACTGTACTTCATATTATAACTTGTGGGATACAATTAAAGCTTGTCTCAGAAGAAAACTGTGATCCTAATGATCCTTTATTATTAAAGGAAAAGACTGAAAATGAAGCACTAAGTATTTGTGTTAATAAATTTAAAAAAAGAAACACAAAAGGAAGCAAACAAAGCAGGAAGAAAAAAATATTTTTAAAAGGATGAAATCAACTTAAAAAATATTAGGGTAGATGACTATACCCAAAGTTGATCCTTTGAAAATGATACCCAAAATTTAAACCTAGTGAATGCTCCATTAAGTTAAAAAAAAAAAATTGGGCTGGAGGTAGCAAAAGCATACAATTTCGTAAGTGATAAAGAATTTTAAAGCAAATGGGGGTGATTTTAAAAATTCAAATGAAGGTGGAAAAAAATGCCTTAGAGGAGCTGAGAAAAATGTGAAAAAGAAGAACAGGGAGCATACATGCTTCAAAGTCAATCAGTAAAACAAAATATTTCAATATTTATGGGAATTAAATATATTCAGATTTGGTATTCAAATTTACAGGGAAAACAGGTTTATTTAATAAATGGTGCCAGTACCCTGGCCTAAGCCAATAGAGAACTGAACATCTGTATCACACCACAGGCAAAAATAGACCCTAGGCGCTACAGAGACCTGTAGCTCCTCTCTCCTCCCTCGGAATCAGGGAGTGGGATAAAAGTTCCTTACCCTCTATTCAGGGTTGGTTCCCCTGGCAGCCAGCCCTCATCCTTAGGTGCTTTGTAAATGTCACTTTCACTAACATAAACCCAGTTGTGGTGGAAGGGTTTATGATGAATAACACGGCACCCAGTTCACCTTTAGGGCTCTGAAGCATTTTTAGGAACTGAGAAGAGGATCAAATATTATAACAAAAGAGGCTTTCATTGCTGTTATTGTTCAAGAAATTTCATGGGTTTGGGGAACTATGAGACAGGAACTGTGGATATACCTGAGAAATATATTTTGGACATCTGAATGAGCATATATATGTATCCAGACAGTATAAATATATATATGTATTTACATCAATAAATCTCAATATTGCAGTCTCTGTAAAATATTCATTATAAAAATAAAACTTTGGATCCGAGCACTTTGAGAATCACTATTTAATCTCCCTCTACCCTTAATAGAGAGAGGGGTAGTCTTTTATTTGGGAGGCACTATCTTAGAAATTAATTGATAAATAATTGGAAATAAACTCAACTGAAAATCAAGGTATCTGACGTTTATTCTTGAATCTCAGTAACTGGCAGTGTGACATTCACCAAGTTGTTCTCTCTCGGTCTCCCTTTCCTGATATTAAATGAATCTGTTAGAATAAGGGGTCTTCAATATCACTTTCTACGTACCATTCATTGAATAAAGATTGTTTTAAACTTTCTTGGAAGCTGTGTGCTACTTTGATTACACCAATAAATTTCCAACTTACTGTTCAGTTTCAATATTGATGATGTAGTAAAAGTTTTAATGTTTTAACAACCGATGACATACTTTCTTAGACACTTAGGAAGGCAGTGGTGCTCTGCCACTGTATGTCTAAACTGTGTCTTAGCTCAATTATAGTATGCCAACTTTTAACCCTCAGTAAGGGCAATATAACCTAGACATGGGGCGTTGTGTCTCCTCCCCCTTGCCTTTGCAATTTGTGACTACATTAGAGAGCGCTTTCACTTCTCAGTTTTCAAGGGCAACTCCTGTTGCCAAATTGAATTTGGTTTTCAAGCCTAGAGACCAAGATAATGTTATTAAGTGCATTTAACATCCATGCTACTTCCTCAGTGTTTTCAAGCCAGAATCAAGGGAAGTAAAGGTGGATAATGTGTACTCGCTCACTTTGTATGCTTATCTGGTGGAAAAGGTGGATGGACAACCATACAAACACTTACTTTAACCAGTGTGACCAGGGCAAAATGCATGTGCCCTAGAAAGCAGGGACAAAGGAAACTCTTTCTTGTGCACCTCTTGTCCCTAAAGCCAGCCCAGGGCCTGACACCTAATAGGCTCTGTGCAAGAAAGGGTCCACCCCCTGCTCTGCCCCGCCCTGTGCAGGGCGCACCCTCCCACCCCCACTCCAAACAACAACCAATAGTGTCAGAAGAGCTCTCATAGAAAAAAGGTGATACTTAAACTGAACAATGAGGCAGCTGGAAATCGTGTGGGGGAGGAAGACATGTTATTCTACCCTCAAGGTTCTTTCAGCTTCAGTCTAACAATCAAATAGACATTGGACAGATTAACAAAAGAAAATAATTTAACTACATATATATGTATGGGAATCCTGCAACATGAAAGGGTCAAAGATCCCACATGTATGAGAGGATTAAAGACAGAAAGGTAAAATAGGCATATATGACATTTTGAGCTAGGGCTTCACAGGGTCATTGCAAGATGATAAAAATAGCAAATGTTTAGTAATCAGAAGTTTGCCCTGACCTCTAGATAGGGCTAAAAACGTTATGTCTGATCTCCTTTTATGGGCAAATCCACTAATTCAAGATTTTTAGGCAGTTAATGGAGGGACAGGAGTTTCTCTTGAGCCCATAGCCAAAGTTGCCTGTAGCTCAAAACCGTCTGCCTATCACTGAGGTACACATTGGGGTGGATCTTTCTGAACCCCTACAGAATGCTACCTAATAATTAGTAGAGATCAGACTGGCATATTGGGATGCTCCTCATAATGAAGTGGAGGCCAACCATGTCTGAGGCTTGTGCTGCCTGTCACCACCCAGCCATAAAGCAGAGATGGGGATTGGATTCTAAGTGTGCATTCAATATCAGGTGCCAGAGATCAGAGAAGATGGTGGATAAAAACCCTAACATCCACCTTCCCCCAAACTCGTTGGGGGCAAGTTTATACAGGGGGATCATGGAAAGAGGGCTTTGATCTTGATGAATATTTTCATTATGATTTCTGGAACAGAATGGTCAGCGTCCTCCTAAGGATCTCAAAGCCAGTCAAGCAGGGGTCAGGTATGTATCATCCACGTGTTTCTGGGGTGCAGTCGACCAGTCTCCGCATACCTGGTACCTGGCATGCAGGTTCAGGGCTGGGTTAAAAATTCCTTTGTTCTTTCCTGGTCAACTCTTAACTGTGACAAAAATCTCAGCTGGGACATAAGGTTAAACGAATACATTTGATTAATTGGTTACACATTCTATTAGTAATCATCTAAGGCTATAATGTAGGAGGAAGAAAAGAGAAAGAAAAAAGTCTTATTTTCTATTCTACCCCTTATACTCTTATCAATAAGACCAGCCTTCCTTCCTCACCTTGAGCAAGTTATTTCCTCTCTCTGGTCTTTATGCTTTTCAGGGGTAAAAGGAGAAGGGGTTCAGCAAAATAATCTCTAAGAACCTCTGTGTGTGTGTGTGTGTGTGTGTGTGACACATTAAGTCCTATAAACTTGGCAGGGAAAACAAAAACTAATACACAAAATCTGCAAGTTTGCATTACACTGAAGTCTCTTGTGGATAATAGGTGAACAACATTGACAGGAAACCAAGCAAAACCTAGCCAAAAGACGGTGGTGAAAGTTTTGGAAAAAAGGAAGGAAGAGCAATTCTCAAACTGCTGAACTGGCTGGGGAGAGAAAGTAAAACTTTCTGAGAAAAGAAAACACAAAAACGTGAGTTAATAAGAAAAAAATGAAGAAAAAAAACAAAACTGCACTTTAAGATCTTTCCCTCTCTGGGACTTTTTCTCACCTGTTACCCCTTCCACCCTCCCCCACCTTCCTTCGCTCTGTCTCTGTTGGACCTTTGTCCCTGCCACCTCATTTTCTCTCTCTCAGTATCTATCTGTCTCTTTCTGCTTCACTATCCCTTCCTGCCTCTCAACCTGCCTTCCCTCCTCCCCACTGGCATACGTGTATTACCGTTTTCATATTCTCTCTCTCGCTCTCGCTCTCTCGCTCTCTCGCTCTCCTCCCCCCCCCCCCCAGCCCCACAAGGAGGAAGTCTGTGTAGTGTGCGGACCAATGTGACTCTTAAATACTATTTTGAGTAGTCCCTTGGCAATAAACCTTGTCCCTGGTCTGTCCCGGGGCTCAGGGTGCGAGCGGCGAGGGCAGGGCTCGCTCCCGAACCCCGAGCCCAGGTGCCCCAACCTCCCCTCTCCCACCACCCCGGCGAGAAGACCGAGACCCCGCCCCCGCCCAGCAGCGGGTTTCCGGCCTCCGGTTATTTTACGGCGCACGGCTCTCGGTCGCCTGACTCCGTGAGGCTTCCCTGCTGCTTCAGCTCTTCACCTCGCCTCCAACACTGCCAGCATGGGTCCCTGGCTTCGCTCGCAGCTCGCAGCTCTCCTGCTGCTCCTCTGTGGCATTGGCACTGCGCACTGCGACACACCTGCCAACTGCACCTACCCTGACCTGCTGGGCACCTGGGTCTTCCAGGTGGGCTCCGGAGGTTCCCAGCGGGACGTCAACTGCTCGGTGATGGGTAAGCAGCGGCCATGCCCAGACTGTCCCCCTTCCCTCGCTCGGAGCCCCTTTCCCCGCAGCGCGCAAACCGAGCACACCTCCACGAGGTCGAGCGCTCCTCCATGAAGCCGGGGCATCTTGGCTGGATTTGGGGTCCCTTGGGATGCCCTCTCCTGTGCCACGGTCAAGTGCAAGTTGAGCTGCTGAGAACTTTTAACTTCACCTTTTCTTGGTTATTCTCGGAGCCTCAGTACTTTTTAAAGACTTTCTTTCCCTACCCCTTTAATTTTTGTTTTCTGTGTTTCGAGTTTGGTTTGGAAGCGCCTTCAGAATTTACATTCTTATAAACTCTGGTCCAATCTGTAGTTTTGATTTTGTTTGTTTGCCAGTGAAAAGTGAGCTCAAATACTCGAGGATATAGCAGAAGTTTATGTTTGTTGTTTTTTTGGGTTTTTGTGGGGGGTTTTTGTTGTCTTGTTTTGTTTTTTTTTGTTTTTTGTTTTTGGTTAGTTTGTGGGAAAGAGCCCTTATGCCCAGCGATTTTGATTTAGATGTGTGTTGATGCTGCTGGTGTGAGAAAACTTCTGGTGCCCTTCTGCACTGCTTTATGTATTGCAGGGATGTATATAACATTTTGTGTTTTTTTTTTCCTTTTAATAACTCTTTAGCAAGTAACTATGTTTGGTGATCCTTAGAACCAAGCTCAATGCCACTCAATAAATACTGAGTGTTTGAACGCACTGGGATATTCCATACACCCTGAGATAACATGGTTACACCAAGGGCAAAGAAATGAGTGAAGGGAGCAGAGTAAACAGTCTTGGTCAGAAGAGGCACCTTTGTTCTGCCCAAACCCTTGCCAGTCTGTAGCTTGGACAGACTGAGTGAAGCTCGCTCTCAGCTGCGCTCTCCTTGACGCAGAACCAAGGTGCCAGGTGACTTTTTACTAAAACAGATCGAGTCAGCTGTCTAACTCCAAATGACTATGGCATTGCATAATCCTGGGCATTTTAACCTTCTTCCCTTTTAAAAGTTGAAGCTGGAGCTCTGAAGTAGAAGGAAGATCAGGATTTTCACAGTCTGGGCACATCCTATTTCAGAGCTAATATTAATCTAAACTGGAAAATCTGCCTCAAGTGTGGAAACCTCCAGATACATACAGCAGAACCCTTGTTTGGTCAGCCCATGTCTATAAACTATACTTTTGACCTTAATATAATAATTAAAGATACCCACATGTCTGAGACCCCATCTTCTGAAGTTTAAAAGTTTAGTTCCTATCAGCATGAATTAGCTTTACAGGATACCGACTGGAGTTTGCTGAAGACTGGAAAGATTCAGATTCAGAAGTTATGAACTGTAGAGCCCTATAAAGATGCTCCATTTCTTCTTTGAAGAGATCATTTCCTTTGTCTTTCTTTTGCTCTGATAGAAAGTCTTTTATATATTTTTATAGTTCCACTTTCTGACTACCATTCTGCCTTCTCTTCATTTCTGCCTGTCATTTTCAACATCCCCCATTTTTCCTTTTCTTCAATGGAAGAATTTCTTCAGTCTTTGGATGCTCTGGAAAAGTAGGGGCTGTACTTTTGGGGGTCTCTCTGGCTGTTGGCATATTTCTATCTTTTGAGCCCTCACTTCACAGGTTTGACTGCGGCCCCTCTGGAACTCTACAGAGGGATGCAACAAGATGGAAAATCTGCTATCTTTGCAAGCCATACTGGCTCAAATTTGGTGGCATGAAAGGAAAGCAGCTTAAAAATTATGGAAATTATACAAGAGATTTTTCCTCCCATTGATATACAAATAATTTTCCATTGTTGTGCATTTTCTTTTGTTTCTAGGGCCACCAGAAAAAAAAGTAGTGGTGCACCTTAAGAAGTTGGATACAGCATATGATGAATGGGGCAATTCTGGCCATTTTACCATCATTTACAATCAAGGCTTTGAGATTGTGTTGAATGACTACAAGTGGTTTGCCTTTTTTAAGGTTAGTTTTGTTGGAATATGCATTCATGTCTTTAATTATTTAATATCTCAAGTCTCTTCTAACCAGTAGACCCTCAGAATTTTAAGATTAAGAAGATAACCAGAATTGACACCACTTTTCCCAAGAGAAATTAGATGATTTATTTAAAATTACAATTTCAGTAGGTTAAAAAACCTGATCTATATTTAAATTTCCAATGTGGTAAGTATGATTAAATTCTTTTTTAAAAGATTTTAGTTACTTTTAGGGAGTAAAAGAAGGGAGAGAGAGGGAGAAAAGCATCAATGTGAGAAAAAACATGGATCGATCAGTTGCTTTTCCCACGTGCCCCAACTGCACCCCAACCAGAGACCAGCAATGCAGGCATGTGCTCTGACCAGGAATCGAACTGGTGACCCTTTGCTTTGCGGGACAATGCTCAACCAACTGAGCCAGGCTGATCAAAGCTATGATTAAATTTTTCTTTATTACTACACCTTTACATCTAAATGTAGCCTTAATGACTTGGCTTTGCACGGAACCTGCAGGAAAGATATGGATATCATAAACAATTCTGAGTTATTATGCTATCTTTCTTATCATTACTTGTTGGTTGTGAGAAATTGACCTAATTGACTCATTGAAGTAACATGCTGTGTACTAAATATATTAACGTGAAAACTTATTTGACTAAACTAAGACAGAGAGATAGAGAACATCTGAGTTACTCCTTGGACTAATTGAAGTAAAAGGTTGTCCGTCCAGGTCAGCTTGCCTTCTTCTCCCCCTAGGGAAGAACTCATGTCCGTTCTTACATGGTAACACGTTTCCAGTTACAGACACACTCAGGGTAAAAGTTTAGCACAGACTGTAGTCCTTCTCCGGTATTCTGAAGTTGGAATTTTTCCTGCTGGCAGAGTTTGAAATGATTTAAGTAAATTGAAACCACAAGCTTGAGACAAGCTGTTTCTCATTTATAATTGAGTATAAATAAAGGCAGACTTTTTCATGGGATAAGGTTTACAGCTTTTGGAACATCTGGTAAGAGTTGACCGATCCTAGGATTTATGGGAAAGTGGGGGAATGACTGTTAACAATGATAAAAGACAAAGCACCAAGAAAAGACTTCTAAATTCATTGTGATTTCTCTCATGGTTTGGGATTTAACCACTAGCATACGATGTTAGATCTGAGCCAACTTTATTTTTTCAAATAATAACACTATATGTATGTATATATATATATATATATGGACTCTCTTTAATAGGGAAAAAAGAAAACAGAAAGGAAAGAATGCCTTCACTCACCCTGGCTTGGCTGGTCTGCTATTCAGCTGGCAGGAACCATCTATACATGTTGGCTGAGGGCCAAAAGTCCATTTTATTCACCGAAGCCCATGCTTTACCAGTTAAATATTTTTAAGATTATTCCTGGATACCAGGTATTTTTAAAATTATAACAGTACTTATATGAACTTTGAAAACTGTACTACATATGAAGTACATGTAATTCAACATGATTATAACTCTTGGTGTGCATATTCCTGAGCTTAGGGCTTTGCAGACTTCTTAAAGATACTCTGTCACAGCCCGTAAATATTTTATGCCTTCAGGTTGAGAATTCCTCTGGCACTGATGGCACAAGGAAAGAGACAGTCAAGACAGTTGTTACAGTGCATTGTCCTCCCCCTCCTTCCCCTCTTCTTCTTCACCTTTTCTTGCTTCTCCCTGCCCTCTGCCTTAAGTGCGCATTCAACCAGAACCATTATCGGGGCAATGTTTTTTTTTTCCTGCTGAAAACTCAGCCACACTGACTGGTCAGTAGTTACGGCTTGTGAGAGAGATCATAATATCAGTAAGCAGAGTAGGTAGATACACGTGAAATACTTGGTTTCAAAATTTCTCTTAACATCATCAAGCAGTTGCAGATAAACATTTTGCAGAGTGATAGAATCCACGTCCTTACTGAAAAACGAATGGAAAGTTATGGGGAGCAGCATTTTTAAATTTTTAAGAAAAATGATAAAGCAGAGTTGATTTTAGATAATCAGAAAGTCAAGCACTTTTGGTGACACTTGAAACTTGTTAAGAGCACAAAAGGCTCGCGGGGTTTCACCAGGACCATCAGGGTATTTCCTACTGCGGAGCAGGGGAAACCATGCTGGGTATGCAGCTCAAGAAAAGCACAAACTCCTTTAATGAGTAAAGCACATGAGACTTTCTACAGGCTTAGTAGTTATCTTTTAAATAAAGGTTAATTTGTTTTTTAAAATGAGAATGATCAAAACTTAACCAGTATTTTGTTAAAGTTTAAGTGTCTTATGTAAACTACAGCATAGTCCGTCCATTCAACTATGGCCATCGCAGGAAAGATGGCAAACTTTTGCCAAGTATACCTGCTCTCATTGTTCTCTACATTGTTATTTTACAAATCAGTTGCATTTCCAGATCTCGGCATTGATTCATACTAGACCCTCCCACTTGTTTCCTCTTGCCCTCTTCAGATGTGCTCTCATCAGATCATTTCTTAGTGTTCCTGGTAGAGAATACTCATCGTGTGATACATGCAGGGTGTTCTGTTAGGCTCCTGCTCCACCTTCTGCCGCCCCCAGAGCGTCCTGCTGCTCTCGGAGCAGACAGGGTCTGTATCCTTCTCCCTGCGCTCCCACTTTGAAGCGACTGCAGTACCACTCCTATTGCTAGAAGCTGATTTTATTAAGTTCTCCTTCTTTAGGACTCACTTGGAAGATGACCATTTTTTATCACTTGAGGTTCCTGCACTGTTTTTACCTTGATTTTATCAGCTTCATAATCTTTTTTTTTTTTTTTTTTTTTTTTTTTTTTTTTGCATGTGACTTCAAGCTAGCTAAAATCTTGGCAGGATGCAAATCTTGACACTGAAAGTTTGTGCATAGTTTGAGTTGGCACTACATAGAAAGCACTAAGTAAATATCTTTAAAAGATATTTTTTCCTTCTAAACTTCCTGTATACATTCAGTTACCCGAACACTTTATGGGGGGGGGGGGGCGGTTACAAATTCAAATACATTTAGAGCCCACCCAGTCAGGTACCTAAACACTTGAAACAGCCTTATGTAAAACAATAAAGAGTAATTAGACCTATGGCAAAATAAAAATAGAAGCTTCCTTAGAGATCTTCATCTCAACTTTCTTTTCAAACAATATGCTGCCCAAAATAAAATACAATTCTGTCTGCAGGCCATTTTCTAAGACTGTCAGATTTTAATAGCATTTACCATTTGGTTATAGTTGGCACACTCCAATAAATTTATACCCCTCAAAAGTACCTCCACATTAAGGAGAGCCAACTTCTTATAAAGAAGGTAACAAAATAAAACATCGTAAAGAACATTTAATTGTGGTTGGCTTTATGTGATGGGTGCTAAGTGATCATTTTTTTCTTTTTGATTTTATGGACTTTGTTCATTTTTATGATGAGCTTATATAAAGCTCCTCGCTATGCAATCCTCCCTACCAAATTGCCCAGTGGAAGTCGTAGGAATCAAACTATGCACCAAAGAACACTCTCATGTTGAATAGGCTCTCTAACCTTTTACTGTTTCTCATTTCACTTTTTCTGAGGCTCTAACAGGAAGTAGCAGAAAAGGAGCTCATATTTTATTTTGAAAATTAAGCTATTCAAGGGCTGAAGATGTATAGAAAGGAAATTAAATTCATTGTGGCTGAAAATTTTATTTAGTGATAGTCAAGGAAACTTCATTGATTTCTAATTGAGTTTTTGTTTGGGACTCACCAGTCTTCACAAAACTGTAAGCAAAACGAACAAACAACAGCAAAAAGCTACCATAGTGTTTCTTAAACGGGTTGCTACCCAGAACAGGAAAATTTGGCAGTTTTGGAATGTTTGGGAAATGGTTGGTGAAATTCATACCAAAGGATTTATTTGCCTACTTTGTGTTCCAGTGACCTGTAAATTTTTAAGCTTGTCACAACAGCCAGAAATGTCAATCATGTGTTTCTACTTAAAGGATTTGGGGATCTTGCACCATTTTTTCCACTGTGTGTTCTGGGTTCATTTTTAAGATATAGCATTTCAGCTTTTAGAATACTTATTATTAGGATAGGCTTACTTATTTCAATGTAGATTCAATATACCAAGATTAGGATATCTTTAAAAAAACACCTTGAGGTTTCCTTTTAAGAGTATTTCAGTTGAGGGAAGGGATCAGAAGTTTAACACTTAATGCTTGCCTAACTGCATATTTTTGTTTTCTTTCATGATGATGTTTAATCTCAACATAATGACTTAGTTTCCCATTATAAACTCTCCATAGGATGTCACTGATTTTATCAGTCAGTTGTTCATGCAGCTGGGAACTGTGGGAATATATGATTTACCATATCAGAGGAACAAACTGGGTGAGCTCCATTGAAATATTTCGAACTTTCTCCTTAAAAACAAGCTTCCCTCCTCCTGGTGGCTTAAGCAAATTAATGTTTAATGTATTCATCAGGGAGATGGAGATGAGACTGGAGAAATTATGGTTTTCTTGTAGATTTCTTGCTTGGGCCTGCTTATTTGCTACCTTTTACATACCTGCACATTTTGTCTGAGTGGTTTTTCACTTTTGCATGTTCTGTTTGCACATATCAGATTAGTTCTCCCAGGTATGATGCTTATAACATAGACATGAACCCAAAAGGGAAAAGACACAGTTAAGAAAGTTCAGTTCAAATCCTTGAAGTAGCTAGGCTGCCTTGGATTGTTCATTTTTTTCCCCAAAAAAGGCTCATGACAGAACCATGTGAAGCCGTGGCATTTTAAGTCTGTCTTCCAGTAGAGAAGGTGGCTCTTCCAGAGAAATTGACATATCTGTCATTCATTCCTGTGAGTTACCAACTGTCTCTTTAAAAGTGGCTCCTTCTCAGAATACAAAATACTGACTGGGAGAAGGGGATATTTTCCACTCTTTACATTCTCGCACTTTCAGAATATATGTTTAAATCATTGCTCTCACTGGATCCATAAACTTAGATGTC